CTAGATCTACAAAACCGCGAACAGCCGCCAGAAGCCGGAGGGGGAGCAGCGCCGGACGGGAAAGGACGGGTGGTCACGCGGTCGCGAGCGGATGAGTTCTCGCTGCTCGCTGATGGCTCTATAGAGAGAACTTTTCCGGAACTCCGCGCCTACTCAAGTGACGTCACTGTGCACGTGACCCGGAAGACGATGAACAAGTTGAGAGGCGGCAAAAACCTGGATCCTTTTAATTTTTTTTAAAAATAAAAACTAGGGTATCCAGGCAAAATCTGTTCTCTGTAGTTCACTGCAGAAGTGTCAGGTATCAACTTCCACAATTATTTAAGCAAAGCCCTGAAATTGTTGCACTGCTCCTTTAAACACAATGCAAACGATAGTCTGCAAACATCAGTCACCGCAATATTCGCGTTCGAATGCCCCGTGCCAAGTTTTCCTTGAACTCGTTGCCATGCGGCATGTGATGCACGGATCTCGTGGTGCCCTGCGTTTGAATCTGTTTGTAGACTGACTTTTGTAAGATGTGTAAGCAGTGTGACCCCGGCTTTAGGCATGGGCACACACATCGTGGGCAAGTAAGGCTTCTCGGTTATAAAATTAAGGGGTCTATACTTTTTTTCTAGTAAACTCGGTTTTAGAAAGGTCTTTTATGTATGACACAGCTTGTTGAACATTATGCTGATATGGTATCAGCTGATGAGGGGGGAGGTGAAACGCATGCCATTTTTATGGACCTCTGTAAAGCCTTTGACAAAGTGTTTCAGCCTTAAGTTTCTTTAACTTTGATGAAACCTTCAATTCTTACTCTAAACATAAGTTATTTCAAATGAAGCCATCTGACTGCCCTCATAAATGTCAAAATATTTTGTATTGAAGTGATATCTGGCGTGCCAACGTGGTCAGTGTTGCGGCCTCTTTTATTCCTGGTGTTTAGCAATAACAACGTGATAGACATTAGCTCCTCTGAGGGGCTGTTTGTAGATGACTGTGTTTTATGTGGCATAGTGGACGGTGTTGGTAATCCTCTTCTTTTACAATCAGGTCCGAGCAGAATCTCTTAAATAGTGCAAAGACTAGGAACTGGAGATCAGTGCTGAGGAGTGTGCCTAGGTTACTTTGAAGTGAAACGTGCTATTTTGTCGATAAGGATAATAATCTTTGGAGAATGGGAGTAAGGGGGACAGAGGACCAACCCTAATCTCCAAACACAGCGAGGTAACTGGTGCGCAACAGAAAAAATATGTCTGGTCCTGGTATCGAACCAGGGACCTCTCCATTTCCAGTGGAGCGCTCTACCAGCTGAGCTAACTTAGACGTCAGAAGAGCAAACGGGTTTTAACAGCTGCCACCAGTCTAACACCAACAAGGGTGAACGGCCTGTACTTTCAAATTATGATAATAATGCAATTAATGCAAAGGTGCGAGTTGGACAAGAATAACAATAATATTCCCTGGAGAAGGGGAACAAGGCGGACAAAGCGCAACCCGTTTGCTCCACTGACATATAACTTTTGGTTAGTTCAGTTGGTAGAACACTCCACAACAAATGGAGAGGTCGCTGGTTCCGTATCAGCACCAGGTGGACTTTTTCCGTCGCGCATGAGTTACCTAGCTGTGTTTGGAGACTTGTGTTTGACCTGCGATACTTTTTATGCTATCTCTAATAGCCCGATCTGAATGAGCAAACATTGCTATTTGTAATAACCGAAAAATTCGTAAAGTCACATAAATCAATTGACTTTCAATTTAAATCAAATTGAATCAAAGAAAATCTATGTCCCACCAGCTACAGGGGTTATTTATTCTTACCTAGCACAATCATCGAGTGGAATGCAATGCCTGAGTCTGCCATCATAAGTATTAGCATTCTATTGCTTCTTTGAGGATTGATTTAAACTTTACACTCGGTTGTTTTGAACTTTTTTTTTTAATTAACGACCTTAACGTCCTTGAATTAACAGATTTCCTGAATTTTCTTGAAGATAAAAGGATAAATAATTAAAATAATCCAAATCCATCAGAAGTTCTAAAATAATTTTCATAATGTTTAAGACTATAAGTTGATTTAGCTCTTTTTTATTTTTGAAGAGCGTTGCGTGAGTACTATACACGCAACTTTTTTTTTGCGACATAATTAGCTGATGAAAATAATCCCTGGAGAAGGGGAACAAGAGGGACAAGAGATAAACATAAATCTCCAAACACAGCTAGGTGACTGGTGAGCGACCGAAAAAATCCGCCTGGTCCGGGTATCGAACCCGGGACCTCTCCATTACAAGTGGAGCGCTCTACCAACTGAGCTAACCAGGGGTTAGACGTCAGTAGAGCAAACGGGTTTTATCAGCTGCCACCAGTCTAACACCAACAAGGGTAAAGCTTGCAGTTAAAGGGGCAAGCGAGCTGGACAATAATGATGAAAATAATCCCTGGAGAAGGGGAACAAGAGGGACAAGGGACAAACATAAATCTCCAAACACAGCTAGGTGACTGGTGAGCGACCGAAAAAATCCGCCTGGTCCGGGTATCGAACCCGGGACCTCTCCATTACAAGTGGAGCGCTCTACCAACTGAGCTAACCAGGGGTTAGACCTCAGTAGAGCAAACGGGTTTTATCAGCTGCCACCAGTTTAACACCAACAAGGGTGAAGCTTGCAGTTTAATGTTATAATTATAATGCAATTAAATGCAAAGGGGCAAGCGAGCTGGACAATAATGATGAAAATAATCCCTGGAGAAGGGGAACAAGAGGGACAAGGGACAAACATAAATCTCCAAACACAGCTAGGTGACTGGTGAGCGACCGAAAAAATACGCCTGGTCCGGGTATCGAACCCGGGACTGACGTCTAACCCCTGGTTAGCTCAGTTGGTAGAGCGCTCCACTTGTAATGGAGAGGTCCCGGGTTCGATACCCGGACCAGGCGTATTTTTTCGGTCGCTCACCAGTCACCTAGCTGTGTTTGGAGATTTATGTTTGTCCCTTGTCCCTCTTGTTCCCCTTCTCCAGGGATTATTTTCATCATTATTGTCCAGCTCGCTTGCCCCTTTGCATTTAATTGCATTATAATTATAACATTAAACTGCAAGCTTCACCCTTGTTGGTGTTAAACTGGTGGCAGCTGATAAAACCCGTTTGCTCTACTGACGTCTAACCCCTGGTTAGCTCAGTTGGTAGAGCGCTCCACTTGTAATGGAGAGGTCCCGGGTTCAGTACCCGGACCAGGCGGATTTTTTCGGTCGCTCACCAGTCACCTAGCTGTGTTTAGAGATTTATGTTTGTCCCTTGTCCCTCTTGTTCCCCTTCTCCAGGGATTATTTTCATCATTATTGTCCAGCTCGCTTGCCCCTTTGCATTTAATTGCATTATATTTATAACATTAAACTGCAAGCTTCACCCTTGTTGGTGCTAGACTGGTGGCAGCTGATAAAACCCGTTTGCTCTACTGACGTCTAACCCCTGGTTAGCTCAGTTGGTAGAGCGCTCCACTTGTAATGGAGAGGTCCCGGGTTCGATACCCGGACCAGGCGGATTTTTTCGGTCGCTCACCAGTCACCTAGCTGTGTTTGGAGATTTATGTTTGTCCATTGTCCCTCTTGTTCCCCTTCTCCAGGGATTATTTTGATCATTATTGTCCAGTTCGCTTGCCCCTTTGCATTTAATTGCATTATAATTATATAATTAGCTGGTGTGACTTGATTAAACTGTAAAAATAGGAGCACGAACACGCAACGAATAAACAAAAACGAACAGCGCGCGACCTCCTTGTTCATATTATGCTCCCTAAAAAGTTATTTTAAACACCCCCTAAAAGGGTTCTTGGTGGAAAACCTATAAGGGGATGTTTTATGCTGAAGAGCTCTTCGTCGCCCAGCTGCCTTTCTAGTGCGCAAGGGGGCGATAGTGCTTGAGGCGAAACCGTTCTTCACTAACTGAAAGAGCTCTTGGGGCCGTCGAAAAACCTTTCAATGATTTATTATTTTTTTAGAATGTACAGCACAAATACTCCCCTCGTGGTGTGGACACGTCACAACCGAAAGAACGCATGTGCATCGCGCTGTTCAAAATGTCTCGCAGTAGGGCAGCACCCAACCGAAGGAGCGTGCTGCCGCTGACGTACCGAGTTAACGGTTCAATGGCCACGACTGTAATGACGGGTGCGGCAAAACAGCAGAGACAGCTGTCTCGTGTGGTGCTCGAGTGTCCACGACGATTGATGGCATCGCAAACTGCGACGGACGTCAAGATAAAAGTTAAAAGGGATCATTAGTCTTTTAATTTACGAGAATATACTAACATTTTTTTTTTTGTGTGTTCGCCTTATATCGTATATTCAAATGACAGATTTGTAGCCCGTGATACAAGTATGCTGTACTAGTTAAAATTAAAATAACTAAATTCTTCTCGGCACTATTCCATGACAAAGTTTGGCAGTCCAGAGTTCTTCATACTAACACTAAGGGGAAAAAAGCGCCGAAGTCTGCTCGCCCGAAGAGACATCGGATTGCCCTGCCCTCTTCTACGAACACGTGGCCCTTACTTAACGCGACGCTGTCAGATAGGCTCCTGATGACTATCTACCCGCGCAAACTACCGAGGCTGACATCTCTTCAGAGTGGGACAATACTGGAGTTCTTTTACGTCTAGTTTTGGTATTTCAGCATCTTCAGTGGTTAAATATTCCAGACAATAAAACGAAGATAAATTTAGTTGTTTTATTCTAACGACAGCTATGGAATATCTTGAAGATGTTAACACATCTAATTAAAATATGCTGGCTAAGGCACGTATCTCGAGAGTTTGTGTATTTTGCTTTTCTTTTGTAATGTACATTGCCCTGTGTTTTTCGGGTTTTGTGAAGTAGATTTGTTTGTTTTGTATGTTTGTTTATATATCCATGATCATAATGTCTGGAATTATTTTAAGAAAAGAAGTTCCTAAAGTGTAAAGAGAGAATGTGTTATCAAAGTCCTTTAGCTACATCGATCCGTACCTTTGTTTTGCAGAGCGTGTTTTCGAAATTTCAAAAGAAAGCTCAGTCTGCCGGATAATATCACTTGAAAGTCTTCCATTTGACCTGCAAATGATTATTGAACCAAACAAAATTAAGACCATGACTGCGAATACTTTTTTCTATGGTCCCCATCAATCTTCCTCATTGAACTACGCAAAGTTCGTAAGGCCCTTTCATTACCACATTCCTAAGGACAGCTTTAGACTCATGCATTGACTCATGTTGAAGAGCTATATTTCACTTTATATTTTTGTATTGTATAATCCAAGTATTTGCAAAAAATAATACTCTAGGTTGATGATGCTGACAAGGACCGGGAGCATGTAATGTATTGTGAATGAAATGGGGCACAAGATATATGTGTATGTGACGTCACAAGACGTCCTAAGGTCACAAAACTGTGACGTCACAAGACGACAGGGGACTTCGCGATGTCACTTTACGTTATGGTATCATGCGTCATCATGACGTCATTTGATGCCATGACGTAACGGGACATTCTGACGTCACGTGGCACCATGATGTCACACTCACGTGACGTCAGTGTGTAATTTGACGTCATGTCACGTGACCAACCCTGATGTAAAGGTATGGGCTTGTACATATACATTCCATAGCCAAGTTACAAAGCTTTTTTCACCGTAAAACTATCTATATGCATGTCCGAACACTCATTCTCTATCCAGGTAGCTAGTAGTTCAAATAATATGTATCCGTGTAATGTATGTATTCGTGAAATTAAATTTACCGAAAATCGCTCATTTCTGGGACACTCTGTACTTCCATATGCGGCTTTAAATTATATGTAAAACAGGAACCTATAGCTATAATGAGTCGTTTTTTATGAACACATGTTGATAAAACTTGTGTGCTAAAAATAGCCGTAAGTTCAGCCCGTATCACAAAGAGGCACCACCGATTTGTATGGATTTATACTATTGATTTAAAATCTTTTTAAAGCCCCGATAAAAAATATGCACGTTGCTATGTATGTCACAATTTCTTAGGATACAGGATACTTCCCTTTCCCACCAAGGCAACTGCCCAAGCTATACAACTTTTACTCTAACAACCACAACGGACTCTCTTCTGAAACCTTGTAGTTTTCATAATAATATAGAAGAGCGCTTCTCTACTAAATTTTGCGATTTCGCAGCTTAATTGCCACAAGAGTATTGCAATTTCGCACCTTAATTACCACAGATGGTTCATAATAGTAACCGTAATACGTTTAACATTCCGTGTTAAAACGACTTCATAAATTCAGCAGAGATTTCAGTAATTCAATTTGTTCCTTTCTCTTCGAATGATCTTAACTTATTTGTAGTAATTATATTTTTAAACTGTTTAAAAATGAGATGATGGTAAGTTTTTTTATTAAGATAAAGTTAGAGTTTAAACAACGCAGTAGGATGTCGATAAAATATGGTACTTTCTTCATACACTCATAAAGAAACGACCGTGCTAAATTTTTAAAGGACGAAGTTTAAACATTAGTCCAGTACGTCCTTAGGCACCCGAATTGAGACACGAGTCTTATAATTTAGTTAGCAAAGAAAACATCAGGGTCCAACGACTGTTACATGTGAACTACAAACACTAACTGCTCCTAACCAGGTTATCACAAGTTAAAAAGTTCTGACGAAAACGTCAGTTTCCGCGTTTGTAATATTTAATGACAACTCCCTAACGTTTATTTATTTATTTTTTATTTGTAAATATTGCCAGACGCCTAGATGGTGTCCAAGGCAAGGTGAGAACGGTACAGCAAGTACACTGTACAATGTAGGCACACAAAGAATAACATAACAACGATAAGCTAAATCGGCAATACAACGCAAAGTGCCAAGAGCATACAAATAATAAAGAAAAACCCCAGCAACACTCGAAGATATTCAAGACACAAAAAGCGAACTTATTCTATGACAATAATTGATTAGTAACTGCCGCGACAAAACAAGAAGATGTGAGCTGATTAGTAACGGTTAAAAGTAATTTATTCTATTCATGAACAGTTCGCGGTATAAAGGAGTAATTAAAAAAGTCCTTTTAAGATTGTGGCACTATAATGGTTTTCTCGTGTTTGTTGCGTGTCTGTTTGGATGTATCTTATTGCATGTATTTTTCGAATGGAAGTTTAACATTGCCATAACTATGTTCTAAAGAAACTTAAGGCGATTAATTTTCCTGCGTGTTTTGAGCTCGGGTATGCTTGACAGTGTATGCAGTTGAGAGACGGAAGTCAGCCTGTCGTAACGGTTATAAACAAAACGCAATGCTTTGGTCTGAATTCGTTCTAGTTGATGTATGTTTTTTGCTGTGTATGGGTCCCATACCAAGTCAGCGTATTCTAGTATTGGCCTAATTAAAGTTGTGTATGCTGTTAACTTTGTTTTGGGTGTACAGTAGGTTAGTTTTCTTCTTAAAAACCACAGTTTCTGCAACGCTCTGGCAACTATGTGGTTTACGTGCGCGTTCAACGTTATATCTGACGCAATGACAATACCAAGGTACCTGTATTCTCTAACAGCTTCCAAGGAAACGTCGTTCACGGAGTAAAAAAAGGGCCTAGGTCTTTCTGCTTTTTTTTTTTTTTTTTTGGTAACAGTCATCTGCACACTTTTGTACGTCTTTAAGCGGCGTCCAAGAGGGCATCCAAAACCTAGCTGGCAATGGGACAAAATAAAAATATTGCCACTACAGTGGTACGTGGGTGTGATAATAGCAGCTGGAATACATAAGCTAGCCACCGAGAGAAATGTTTAGGAGTGCTGTGTAAACAATACACCGTAGTGAGCGAGTGCTGTATTTTATATTCTGAAAGTTGAATGTGCTGGGATTTTTGTTTGACTTAATTGAGGGAAATAATTTCAGCCATCATCATTGCACTGAGCTACAGTGGACGGAAATACTTTCTACCCACCCGATTGCGAGCCGATGAGCTATTCGCCAATAGGGAATAATGAATGTTCATTCCCCATTGTCCCTCCCCCAGAAACTTGGCACTCCTCGACCCACCATCATGGCATTTTTACCACCCAGGTGCAGACCACATTGTGCCAGCTCGCAATGCCGCCACGTGAATTGCCCCTTTTACCGATTTATCATTACAAGAGCACATTCTGAATAGCTGCATTAACCACACAACGTCGTAATGAAAAAAAAACTAAAGAAAAAACTCTTCAGCTTACTTATTCCCTAGCCCAACAGAGGAATGTTGTGTGGTGCGTCGCACGGGGTAGTATAAAGCTACAACAGAAGCTTTCGCCGACACTCTTTCGGCGTTAGATCAACTTTTCATCGATCTTTATATAAAGATCTTTCGAGGCTTTGAGGCTAGACATTTCATAGGATACCACTGAACTTCAACACCCACATTCCGAGATTTCCAAGAGACGCCCTCCTGTGTCTCTATCTCATTACCTGTTTAAGGAAAATCATGCTGCAATAGCTTCGAGCACGCCCCGTCTACAAGCCCCTAAAACAAAAAAATAGAAGAAAAGTATCATTAAAAAATAAGATTTATTTTACCTCAATAGCACGTTACGTAACTGACGAAAAAAAGGTGAGAACCTTTTAACCAAAAAGAAAAAAAGGAAATAAAAACACAAAAAAATGTGTGTCCGAACGTTGCTGGCTGGGAAGGGGTGGCTCGTCTTCAAATCAGATATAGGTCACATGTGACCACTGACGCGGCCGAATCCCGAGACATTCGTAAGTGCTAGAAGATCGAAGTTTGAAGTGGATTAAATAAAACATTGGGGATTTTTTCTTGAATAAGGAGGGTGTTTCAGAGAACGCAGGCCAAATCGCTCCTGCGAAGACTACTCATCGCAACGAAAAAAGGCTTGTAGGGTTTTTGTTCTGGTCCAGAGGCCCATTTAGGAAAATTATTAAAGTCAGAGATAATTAAGTTGTTAATTATATTTGCGTAATTAACTTTTAATATTGTGTTTAAGGACATGGTTTAAAATAGAAAATTGCTCAGCATCATCAAAAAACAAGAAATCAACAAATTGCTGAACGATAGAAGGCACGCTAAGCATTTTACGGCTTTCTGAAAAACCGCATAAATTTGACTGGTTTTTAAGTTTCGGTTTGCTATCGGAGCGCATCTCGGCCCCGGCAGCACCGCGCCCCGTGGAGTGATAGTGCAACCAGCCTGTGCTGCGTCGCGCGATGACAGCGCAGGAGAGGTTGGGTGCACTATCTCTCCACGGGTCGCGGTGCCGCCGGGGCCGTGATGCGCTCCGATAGCAAACCGAAATTTAAAAACCGTCGAATTTGTGCGGTTTTTCGGAAAGCCGTAAAATGCTTCGCGTGCTTTCTATCGGTCTGCAATTTGTTGATTTAGTGTTTTTCGATGATGCTGAGCGATTTTCTCATTTAAACCATGCCCGTAAACACAATATTAAAAAGTTAATTTCGCAAAAATAATTAACAACCTAATTTTCCCGGTCTTTAAGAATTTTCCTAAATGGTCTCCTTGACCAGGACCAAAACGCAACAAGCCTTTTTTCGTGGCGATGAGTAGTTTTCGCAGGAGCGATTCTGCCTGCGTTCTCTGAAACATCATATATATTGTTAGAGGTCGACACAGCACGCGACACGAGCGCAGGAGACTCGGGCCAGGCAGAGCTATCCTGGGATACTCCGCCAGAGCAAGCACCCCAACGGTCGCCCCGTCAGCTCGCCCCGTGAGGACCGCAATAAGCGTGCTGACAATATATATACCGTATATATATAATATATATATATATATATATATATATATATATATAGGTTTTTTTTTATTCTTACAGATTTCTTTATAATAAACTGTGAAAGCTACACTAATAATGCGGTTTGTGCAAGTGGAATAATGGATGTCAGACGGACATTATTCGGGTGGCTAAGTTTTTCGAAAAGTCAGCTAATTAATTATAATTCGTTAATTTAATTTTAATTAGTAAGTATAGATATAAAGTTCCAATTAGAAACTTGCTGAGCATCATTAAAAAAACACTAAATCAACTATTTTTAGAAGGATATAACTCCGGGGCAGCATTTTACGGCGTTCTGTAAAAACGATTTATATGGACGCGTTTCTAGATTTCGGTTTCTTATCGGAGCGCATCTAGAAGTCAACGAAGTAATACAGACAACCCCGATTCCACGTAACA